CCCACCCGCAGGCCCCGAGCGGCAGCCCGGCCCCAGGCCCCGGTAGGCCCCAACCCCTGGGCAGGCCGCGATCCCCGGGGCGGGCCCGAAAGCCGGCAGGCCCCAATCCCTGGGCAGGCTCCAAAGCCCGGCAGGCCCCGGCCAGGCCCGGCAGGCTCCAAGCCCGGGCGGGCCCCAAGCCCTGCAGGTCCCGAAGGGGGTCCTGCCTCCAGAGTCAGGAAACAGCTCTCCGGGCAACCTTTCCTGGAAGGGGTCCTGGCCCCCAGCCCCCCCAGACCCTGGTGGCCCTGACCTCCCGCAGGTCCTGAGCAGACCCAGGCCCAACCTGAAGTCCCCCACAGCGCTCCCACCAGACCACAGTGTGCATGAGCCCCAAGCAGGCCCAGCTTCCTGCAGTGATCCTGGGTGACCCCTGCATGGGCAGGATGTGCCCTCACCACACCCCCGGACGCCTGTCAGGTTTGGATGGGCTTGGTGATGCCTGGATCCGTCCCAGCTCCTGACTTAGACGAGGCCCCGCTGCCTGGCATGCTGGGCAGTGTCCACAGTTCCTTCCTCCTCATTTAATGGGTTCCCTGCCACTGAGCAGGTCCCCACTATCTTGCAGGCACTGTCCTGGACGTGAGTCAGGTGTCAGGATGTGGGTTTCTACCCAGGTTACTGCTTCTGGGATGGCCAATTAGAAACTCAGGCATCGCCTGGACTGGTGGAGGGCCCTGCCCCCGGCCACCCCTTTGCAGGAAGGGTCATCTGGCAGCAGTCTGAGCAAGCTGCCCCCTACAGCCTCCCGGCCTGCCTGGGGAGAGGGGCGAAGACAAAGAGCGAAGAGGACGGGGAGCACCCGAGCCACCTGCCACTGAGGAGGGAAGGCTAGTTGAGAAGGGCACCTGGAGGGTGTTGGGGGCATGTGCTGGGTGGAGGGGCCCTGGGTGAGGGCAGAGGGGGCACCTGGTGGACGGCGGGGGTGCCCTTGGCGGGGGTCCTGGCTCCTGCTGTAACTCAGATGCCCGGTTCAGGGAGCCGTGACCCAGTTGAGGAAGCCCCACTCATTTAAAAATACAGATCCTGCCCACATCCTGATTGCTCAAGGGCCTGTTGGTACTCCCCTCTGTTACCTCTAGCTACTTCCATGTGCCACCCTTCTCGTTTTGAGTTTCTTTTTCATTCTCAGCCTTAAAAAAATAGCGCCAACTCCCGAGCACGGCATCCAAGGCTTTTGCAAAGCCACTGATTTCCTAGCACGTCTCCCCCACTCCCTGATTTGCAACCCACCCACGAGCGCCAGCTTCTCCTTCTCTGGCCACTCTTCTGTGTCTCCCTGTCGGTTCTGAGCCCCGGTCCCTGGTGCAGGGTAGTCGGTTCTGAGCCCCGGTCCCTGGTGCAGGGTAGGTGCTCAACAACATCCCCCGGGGCCAGAGAGCTTCAGCATTCTGAAGGCAGGGCTCGTGTCCCCTTTCTTCTGCAGGGCCTAGCACAGACAGGTGCCAAAAAAACAGTCGTTGAATGAGTGAAAGGAATTCCTTCGAAAACCCACAGCTTTCCCAACATGAAAGTCGACGCTAATTGGATCTTATTTTCCTCAAAAGATTTTTACAGCAGCTGAATGTTTTCACACATTTGTAAAGGGTACGAAGAGCATGTATGAAGATCTATCACTCTTTCTCCTGTTTGCAAATACGCTGCAGACAGGCACAGGGCACTCCAGCAGTGGGGGGAGGCCGTGCGGGATCTTCTCGGAGGGTTGCCCTACCCAGTGGGAAGAGGACTTCCCCAGACCCACAGGGCAGAGGAAGGCATTGGGGGGGGGAGGGGGAGAAGCCGGGGAGGAGAGCAGAGACCCAGAGTGTCCACGGGGCTCCGCATCCTGTGGGTAAGAACCCAGGGCCCCAGAGAACAGGGAAGGAGTGGGCTGTGGGGGACTGCAAACCGGGGATTCACTCCACAGACTTGTGCTTGCTGAGGGAGGATCCAAGACGCATTTTGGCGAGCCGGGCCTGGCGGTTTTGAGTACAGAGAGTTGGAGGGGGGAGAGAAACGGTTGGTAGAGAGATCATTCTGGAGATTCTTTCCTTTCAGAATTCTTCCATATATAAGAATAGACCGAATAACCCCCACGACCCCAAGGAAGGATGAACGAGATGACTCAGTTCAACAAGCATTTATCGAACACTTATGATACACAAAGCAAAGGAAAATGTTAGATGCTTGTTAAAAGCAGATAATCCTGATTTTAGTTCTAAGCACCCCCTTCCTCCCTCCGCTCCTGAGTCGAAGAAATCCAAACTAAACAGAACGCTAAGGAGTTATTCGACTTCAAATGCCTGCCAATTTCCTCAAGATGTAGCTTGTGACAGATACAAATATATTCCAGGAAAGTACTTTCCCCTTTGCACTGCAGACTTTAGAGACCTCAACATAAATAAGACAGGCAGCACTCTGTTTAGATAAATTTTTATGAAGGTATTAATCCACAGCTTAGTATATATTTCACTGTCAATGAAAAATCCACCTCAGTTTAATTTTCTTTAAAAAAAAATGAAAATTTAAAATAACTTACCAGATCTTTCATGCAACCCGAGAAGTAACTTCTGTTTTTGATGAGATGCGACTCATTCCGAATTCAACCGGACATTCAGACTTAGTAGTTGAAGAACAAGGCTTTAAAAACAGGAATCAGAATGAAGTCCCCAGGACTTATTAGGAAGCTTTTGGTACAGTTCACATTCTCGAACACATTTCTGAGATCATATCGTTTGAGATGGCCCTGGGTGTATGGAGTGTGTATTTATATATTAATTTCGTGCCAGGAGAAACATCTCCTCTACTCTCTGCTTATTAGACTGATTGCCTCGAGATTCTCAGATTCCATTATTCTGATGTGAGAAACACTCATTCCCTTGGAGCACTTGCCGCTTCTTTCTGGGATTTTCACTCATTCCTTTATTCAATATATATTTGTTGAATATCAGTTTCTAAGAGCTCCAGTCCAGGTCAGGCTTTTGGGGATACATTGGCCGCGGGAAGAAATACAGCAGTAAAACTCAGCAAGCCAGTGCCTGGGAGAAGACTGAGCTTGGATTAATCCATCCAAGGACGAGTCCCGGTGTCCCAGGCAGTCCGATCCCTGACAAGGGAGTTGTCCACGCAAGGGCTCATAATACTAAAGGGCATAGTCCATTTGGACTGGTGGCAAGCTCACGTGCACACATAAAGTGTGCATGAGACGTACGCTGAGCCACGGAGTTTGAACTTGACCTTGTGGGTCACAAAACCAGTGGAAGGGCCGCCGTCAAGACTAACGTGAGATCGAGGTAGGGTTCGTTCCTGGTGGACAGTGATCGGCGGCTGCATCTGCCCTGAGGGGGCCGAGGCAGGCTCAGCTCCACGACCTCCCTCCACAGAGCAGCTGGCCTGGAGGTGAGCCCCCAGCAAAGAGGCAGGAGAGACACCTGCACGACCTCCCGGGACAAGTGCTGTATGGGGGTGTCCGCGCCTTCCCTCGCCTGCGCATCGGGGGGGCCTTGGTTACACTTTGTGAAGTGCATCAGGCATGCCACCCAGAAGATTCGGGCTAAATGTTCCCTGAAGGGTTGAAAAGGAACCGGTTGCCATGAAAATCACATTTCTCTAGAAACTTTTTTGAAAAAATGCATTAACTTATTGAAACGTTGAAAAACCACTATAATGAACACTCGTATGCCCTTTACCTAGGTCAGATGTGTCTCTGTGTGTGTCCATATATTTTTTCCTGCACTTTAAAGTTAGTTACATACACTTTAACCTTAAATACCTCAGTGTGTATCTGTCTCTTAGGACACTAGCCCACAAAATCACAAGAATATCCTGATCATAGCCATGGAAAAATAACATCAGAACAATACTATTATCGAATACACAGTCCACATTGAAATTTGTTTGATTGTCCCCAAAATGTCCTTCATTGCCTTTTAAAAATCCAGAATCTAAATAAGGACCAGGTGTTCCGCTTGGTTGTCAATTCTCTTTGGTCTCCTTGAATCCAGAACAATCCCTGCCTTTGTCCTTCCTGACACTGAGGTGTGGCGTAGAAGGTCCCGAAGTCTGGATTTGTTGCATTGTTTCCTTATGATTAGATTCGGGTTAAACACATTGTGTTTGCCACCGTACCTCACCAGGAGCCACAGAACCCATGTGTCTCGTGTTACTGGCCAAGGTGGGCTATTTGGTTCAGGCCGGGTTGGCCGGATCTCTTCACAGCAAAGAGCCGTTTCCATTTTCATAATTAATGGCATTCAGCTCAGTCTCCTCTTTAAAATGCACGGAGGCTCGGGGGCCGTGAGAGAGTTCTGTCTCCTGACCTCTCCCCCGAAGTTTCATAGCCAGTGATGACCTCTGCCTGAATCAAATACTGCTTTTGCAACAGGGTGATTTTCTACCTGGATCACCCGTTCAACCACCTGAAGTCCTGAGTAGAGCCTCCCTGCCTCCCCTCGGCCCCAGGACAGGCTCACATAATCTGTGGGGTCTGGGGCAAAAAGGAAAGCGCAGAGCCTCGTTTTCAAGAGAGAATTTCACGATGGTGGCAGCGGAGGATTAACCCGAAAACAGGCCATGTCACAGCGGGCAGTGGCCGCGGGCTCTGGGGCCGGCCTTGCCCCAGTCTTGTCCCTGTGTTTGGCTCTTTCGTGGTCACTGGCCCCACTCGGGCCAGCCAGGGCCCCATCAGGCTGGCGCCCATGTCTTTCTCACGTGTTCCTATCGGTCTCTGAGGACTCCTGTCCTCCTTGGAACATTAAGATGGTCCCCAGGCTCACTCTGCTCCGTCCTTGCCCCAAATCAAGAGTCAGCCGGGCCTCACAGGAGCCCTGGTCTCCCTGCGGTCGGGGGCATGGTTGTTTAGATTTCCATCTGGAAATCCAGTTCTGCGTGTGGAGTGCGCTCAGGCTGTTTCTGATCCTTTTCGAGGAATATCGTGAGTGCACACGGATTCCTCGGAGTCGCAGCCCATGTTACCGGGCTCTTCTTCACGTGCCCTAACCCACGGTGGTTCTTCCTTCTCCCACAGTGAGAACCCGAGTTCCCAATCACCCTTCTGTGGATCCTTGGCTGGTCTTTCCCACAGCACTCCCGGCAGCCTCCACTCCCAACCCCAAACCCATGCCCTCGAGTTCCAGAGTTCGTTCGTTCTTCTTGTTCTTCGAATGATCCCACCGATACACTCAACATTTACTTGGCTTTTGTCCGGTCTGTCCGTCTGATACCTATCTAGATTCCTATGTTTCTGTTTGTACCAAAGGGCTCGCTGTTTTCATTTTTTTTTTTTTTTTACATTTTCTTTTTTTGAATACGTACATTTATGTGGCTCAAAAGTTGAAACTGCAGGAAGGAATGCTCAAAGGCGTCCCCTGTCCCTTCCACTCCTTTTCCACTCATCCCTGGAGGTAACCATTTTTATCAGGTTTTGGTTTATCTTTCCTGTTTCTTTTTTAAAAACTACGTTTATGCGCACTCACGGATCTATACAAAAAACAGCATATTGCATATAATCTTTTGCACTTTGCTTGAAAAGCACATTCTGTGATTTCATCTACAGCGCTTTTTACTTTCTGATATCGGCACGATGAGAGAATGGTGTTAATAAAAATGTACTGGAGGAACCACTTATTAACAACAAAAAGCGTTCCTTCCCACATCGGTTTTTAGGACTTTTCGATAAAATGAGGGGCTGAGCTAGTTGCTCTGGGCAGTCCCCTGCTGTTCTAGCAGCCTAAATTATCTTCCCAGGAAGCCCACCTTGTCGGACAGTAATAACCCTCCTGTCTCGGGGACGAAATTCTTATTTACTTCTGAGCACCAGCAAAATTACTTCTGTAGCTGCAGAAGTTTTCAAGGGCAATGTGGAAGATCTGGAGCCTTGGGATGGGGGTGGCTGAGGGAAGGAAGAGAGAGAGAGGTAATTAACCCACCAAAGGTGGTTCCGCGTTCCTTGAGGCAACTCCGCTTATGGAAACGAAGGTGTATAGAAAAGCAGAAGGAGGGGATAAATGTTTACATGGATCAAGTTTCTTTAGGAAAACCTTCACTTATAGGATCCTCTTAAATAGTCTGCTTCTCCAGTGCATCAAAAAAGGGGCCGGTCTTCAAAAACCGGGGTCACATTCTTTCCTCCAGGAACACCCTCATGTAAAGCCACACGTCTGTCTGCATTATCTAAATGCGGATCTTTTAAAAAGTAAAAAAGAATCACAAATCTGTTGCGGAGGCTTTTGGCAGCTGAGCTGCGTGAGGAAAGGGTGGGGGTACAAAACGCTAAGCAGGAATTGTTAGATTTTCTTAAGGGCCCTGAGAGGGAAATTCAATATATATATATATATATATATATATTCCCCCTCCCGCCACTAAATCTGCAAGGTTCCATCTTTCAGGCTGGTTCATAGTTACGGATGGAAAGTATTGAATTGGAGTGACCTTCCTTACATTACAATGCAGGTTAAAATGCTAGATTTGAAATAAGATCACTATCCCTGCTCAGTGACTTACAAAACTGGAGTGACATTATAACCCAAACAGAATAAAAAGCATTCCAATCGGGTTTCCGGTTCTCCTAACACCTCCATAAATTCAAATGCTTAAACATCGCCTATGAGAACCATAAAAAGACATTTTGAAGTCTTTTTCTTAACACATTGGGAACATAGAGTCGATAGGAACCATAGAGGACTTTTTTTTTTTAAAGGGCTATTTTTAAAACATGATTTATTTACCACGTTATAAACTCGGCAGCACGTGAAACCGAGGAGTTCCGTGCGTACGCCAAGGGTACACATGCACACACACCAAGAGCCCCCTCTTTTTTCTCTTTAAGTGAAGTTACCTTCCGTCTCCCAAGGCTCCCGGGGCTGGAGGGTGGGGAGGATGGGAGGTGAGTGGGGACCAGGGCTCTCCAGGGCGGGCTATGGGACCCCGCGGGGAAGGAGCACTGCCCGGCCACGGGCTGCCCCGGGCAGGGGTCACGGTCGGCTGGGTCGGCTGGGTCGGCTGGCGCGCGGGCAGCCCCACTGGGGACTTCTGCGGCGCATTTCTGTGCGACACACACACACACACACACACACACACACACACACGACGTCCACCTCCGCGAGGCACGATGGAAGTGCTCGAGTTCTGTGTACATTTAATTATTAGCATGAACTGCAGGTACTGTCATTGTTTAACTCAGCCGACCTTTTAAATGGATAACCAACCTTGAGGCTTAATTGGATTTAAAAAAAAAATCAATTTCTAGCCATTGCATAGTGTGGAAATGAAGTGCGACATTCTCAGGCAATTGTAAAATCAGTTTTGCTCCAACCTATTTTTTATTATTTACAACTTTAAAATGACATTCTCCACCTTGGGAAGCGCTCCGGGTACACACGCACGCACACGCAACACGCACACGCAACACGCACGCGCACGCACGCACGCACGCACACCTTCCATAAACAGCCACCCGTACACATGTCCGCGTGCGGCGCGCCGTGTCACCCACGAGTGCTTGCTTTCTGTCCGGTGGCGGGATTAGTCAGCAGCAATCTCTTCACACCAATTACACGAAAAACTGAA